GATTTACGGCCTCTGAAAAAGGCTGGAGGGTCAGCTATGGATTGCCTCTAACTCGATGCTATACAACAAGATACAGGGTTCAGTCTGGGGATCGGGGTGGATTTGAGGATAGGGTTGAAGGATAACATAGAAAATTAGTTGAACTTAGATAAAGAAATGGGTGGGGAACTAGGAACTGATGTGGGGCTGGGGACAGAGTAGGTTAATGGGTTCAGGTTTGGGTTTATAGATGAGGTTGGGGGAAATGCAGACAGAGTAGCTGGTTGGTAAGGGCGAGCCTGGGGATAGGGGTAAGGCTGTGGATGGGTCTGATGAACTCTTAACCTCACCTCCTCTGTTCTTCTTCCCACAGGTTTTATTTCCTATATGAACTACATAAACTTCTGGTCCATTCTGGCCATCCAGGCCATCTGGTCGTAGAATGTTAAGAATGAGCCCACTCTGGGTCGGCTTCTGCAGCTCCAAGTCCAGTATCTGGGGACCCTGCTCTCATGACTCCCACCCCCACCAAGTTTCTGGTCTTTTTTCACCACAACCCCAATTAATATTCTATATTTTTAAATGACATGATTTTTTTTTTGGCCCAGACTCTTGTTTTCACTCAGCACCCGGGCTGGGTTCTGTGGAACTGCTGTCTGTCCCCGGGGGCCATCGTTCCACCCTCCATGGGTAGAGGTCTAGGTTGAGGTAAGGACTTGGTGCACAAAGGCCCAGGAAAGAGGCTGGGTCCACGGTTCCTGGAACACAGACGGTGCTCAATGCTTGTCAAATAGATTCCCCCTAAGCCCTTTGGGGTTCATTTTTTTACTTTTTGCAACTGGAACACTTCCACAAAAGCGAGGAAGACTTTCCACTACAGGGACAAACACAGTAGCTGCAGCAACAGGTTTATGCAGGAGGATGAGGTTTAAATGTGAAGATGGGCGCAGGATTGGGTAACGTTTCAATCTGTTCATATTGTTGTTATGTGCCGTCAAGTCACCTGAGACCCTAATGACCCTGTGTACAACAGCCCTAAACCCTGCTCTATCCTGTGCCAATCTCACTGTCTCTGACACGCCTACCTCCATTACCCCAGTCACTGAATCAATCCACCTCATAGAGGGTCTTCCCCTCCTGCACTATTTCTCCAACCTTCCCAAGCATGGCGTCCCTCTCCAAGGACTGGCCCACCTTGCAACATGCCCAAAGTATGTCAAATGATACAGGGTCGCTGTAAGTCATAGTCAAGCTGATGACACGTAATAACAAAGGGAAAGAGAGCAAGAACATCTATAGAACATCTATTATACAGAGGGGTCAAAGGGTTCTTGATATCTGCACAGATACAGGCAGGAGGGGAGCCAGAGCCAGTTCCAGGCCAGGGGCCAGTTCCAGGGAAGGGCCCAGTTTCAGGCAGAGGCCAATTCCAGACTAGAGGCCAGTTGCAGGCCAGGGACCAGGTCCAGAACAGGGTCCAGTTCCAGGCAGAGGCCAGGTCCAGGCAGGGGCAAGTTCCAAGCCAGGGGCCAGCTGCACACCAGGGGCCAGTTACATGGAACGACCAGTTGCAGGGAGGGACCAGTTCCAGACCAGTGGCCAGTTCCAAACCAGGGGCCAGTTCCAGGGATGGACTAGTTGCAGGCTAGGGGTCAGTTCCAGGGAGGGACCAATTCCACACCAGGGGCCAGGGCCAGGTGAGGGGCCAGTTCCAGATTGGGGGGGGGGCAGTTGCAGGCCATGGGTCAGTTGCAGGCTACGGGCCAGTTGCAATTCAGAGCCCAATTTCAGGCAGGCGCAAGCTGAAGGCCAGGGGCCAGTTCCAGGTTGCAGGCGCCAGTTGCAGACCAGGGGAAACACACATGAAAAGGCTCTGAGTTTGAAAAAGGACCCACAGTTCCAGGAACACAGGCAAGAGGAGGAGAGAGGACAGAGCTAAGGTAAAAGCGCACAGGGGCTTTTATGCACAGGTGAAAGGCCTTTGAAGGCCACTCTGACTTCAAGGCCGAGGCCAGTGACCTCTATTTGGAGACAAACGCAGGGTCTCTTCAGACCAGTGAGTCCACGTGCAGAGTGACCTCGCTACAAAGGACCAAAACCCCACCCAGACGAGAAAGGAAGGGGGCCCAGCTAAAAAAAAAAAAAAAGACAAAAAAACAAAGCACCTTCTCTTTACACAATGGGGGTGGGCAACTTCGCCTTTGCTTAAAGTTAGAAGGAGGCAGTTCTGGGTCACTGATGTGGGAGCATGACAGTCCCCCTCTGTATTCTGGGCACCACTGCGAGGCGAGGGTCTTCCTAAGGAAAGGGACATCACGCTGGGAAGGGTCAGCGACGGAGAGGAAGCCCCGACCCCCATCCCATCAGATGGACTGACACACTGGCTGCAGCAGTTGTTCAAGGGTGTCAGAGATGATGAAGAAGGCGACAGGACAAGGTTCAGATTTGTTGTTCAGAGTCCATGGCACCACCTCGCTCAGATCTAGTCCGGCCGGCTGACCCTACCGCCCCGGCCTCGCCTCTCCCCCGCCGCGCAGACTCCACCTCTACTCGCTTCCCTCCCCCGCCCCCCGAAATGGACCCCAATCTTTAAGATCCACGCCCTTCACTCACCTATTGGGACCTGCCTCCCGCCCCACCTCTGTCTCCTCGATCAACTCCGGCCACCCAGGAAGCCCAGGAGCTTCTATTTATTTGGCCACGCCCACCCTAAGGTCCTTCGCCCCGCCCTCCCTAGGCCCGCCTCTTGGGATTGTCCAAAGAGGTGCCTGAAACATATGACAAAATTAGCCTTCCCGATATTTCGTGATCTTTTCTGTTTCCTTCCAAAAACATCCTCTATATGATGTTTTTGAAGGTTGTAATGAGAAAAGGCCTTTTTTTAATCTTATTTAAGTGCCAGCGCGTGGTTCCTGAAACCGGCTTTTAGCGAGGACACCGAAGCCAGGGCCCAGCAGGTCGCCAGGGGGACGGGCCTTGCCGGTGGCGCGTCAATATAAATAAGGGCTCGCGCATCATCTCTAGGACAATTAGAAGAAAGTTTGGTGATCTTTGTAGGCTCCCTACCCTTCAATATGGATTGAAGCTCAACATCAAGAAAACAAAGATTCTCACCACTGGGCCGATTGGCAGCTTCATGATAGATGGTGAAGAGACTGAGATTGTTGACAGCTTCAGTTTGCTTGGGTCCACAATCAGCACCTCTTAGTTCCAGTAGCCAGGAAATCAAAAGACGAATTGCATTGGGAAAGTCTGCTGTCAGAGACCTCCCCAGAGTACTGAAGAGCAACAACGTCAGGCTGGAGACTAAGGTGCACCTGATCCAGGCCCTGGTCTGCAATTACTTGCTATGCATCAGAGAGATGGACAATGACTAGGGATGAAAGGAGAATTGATGCCTTTGAGCTGTGGTGCTGGAGAAGAGTGTTGAATGTACCATGGACTACTAAGAAAATGAACAGATTCAACCTGGAGAGAGTTAAACCAGGCTGCTCCTTGGAGGCAAGAATTCTGAAGCTCCATCTGACATACTTTGGACATGTTGATAGGAGGGACCAGTCCTTGGAGAGGGACGTCATGCTTGGAAGGGTGCAGGGACAGTGCAAAAGACCCTTGATGAGATGGATTGACTCAGTGATGTTCAGTGTGGAGGTGATGGAGAGGACCAAGTAGAGTTTTGTTCTATTGAACACGGGATAGTGTGATTCAGAGCCACTTGATGGCCCCTAAAAGTGTGCGGATGGATCACCAGGTTTCCACAGAACCATTGGGTGGGTTCACCACAGCCCAGAAAACCCTGGCACCTTCTCCTATAGCACCCAACAATATATGCACTCATGTGCAAACCTTGACGACACAGTGGTTAAACCTGCTAACAAAATTGGTGATGGTTTGAACCCACCAACCACTCCTCAGGTGAGTCTGGCCATAAAGCGATACAACTTTGGGAACCCTACAGGACATCTCTTATTCTGTCCTTTAGGACCCCTGAGTCAGAATCAACTTGACAGCAATGTTGCAGAAGTCCTGGTGGTGGTGTGTGTGTGTCACATGTTGGGCTGCTAATTGAGAAGTCAGCAGTTCGAATCCAGTCTCTGCAGAACATAGTTAAGATACCATAAAGATTTTCAAGGTCACTATGAGTTGGAGACCACTTGACAACAGTAAATTTGGGTTTTGTATACTGGCAGACGCCTGTACATAACTCCTACGTGCACACATAAAGTGCAGTAACAAGTGCCCGCTTACATAAATACCATACTTGGTGACACATGTGCTGAATACATGTGCAAGCACACACACGCACACACGTACACAAAAGGACATTGCAAGGACGAGAGAACCCATGCAGTCACACGCAGGGACAAGTGATCCCACGTACTGCTTGCACGCATGCACACGCGGGGATGAGCAAACCCATGCAAGCACGCACACACAGGTGCTAACGAACCCACGTACCCTCGTACGCACACATACGCAGTGACGAGTGAACCCACGTATGCTCCTATGTACGCACGTATACGCAGGAACAAGCGAACCCAAATAAGCAATCGCGCACAAAGACACACACAGTAAATCTAAAGACGTACACCCGCACACACAGGAACGAGCGAACCACGTAAGCACGCACACAAACGCACGCAGTGACTCGCACAGTACATCACAAGATGCACGCACACACAGGGACGAACGAATCCACGCGTGCACGCGCACGCACGCACAGATATGCGCACAGTAAATCTCAAGACATAGACACGCACACGCAGGGACGAGCGCACGTACGCACACGAGCGCACGCACAGGGACGAGCAAACCCAGGCACGCACAGGGACGCGCACAGTAAATCTCAAGACGTGGGCACGCACATGCAGGGACAAGCGCACGCACACGAGCACACACACGCACGCACAGGGGTGCGCACAGTAGTAAATTACAAGAGCCAGAGGAGCAAAGCGAGGTCGTGTTGGGGGTCGGTGTCAGCGGTGGGAGGAGGGAGAGCTGGGGGTGACTAGGGGTCCGGCTCACACGAGGCCCCCCCAAGCCCGCAGGCAGCCGGGCTTCCAGACCCGCAGACTGAGCCCCACACTGAGGATGGTCAGCACGGCCACAGCTCCTGCCAGCAGGGGCACCACGGGGGCTGCGGGGAGAACAGGGTGTTAGGGGCTGAACTGCATCTCCACAAAATAAGTAATACGTTGTCAATCCCAGCCCCTCAATGGGGCAGCAAGTGGGGACTCCAATCAATACCGTGAAACAAAATATATGCATTGTTGAAACTCGATTAGCTCTAAACAACTCATAATAAAAAGCAAGTTTATA